AAGGGGGCAGCCAGGCCCGGCCTGTCCGCCTCAGCTCCGCGCCAAGGAGGCCTCTCCCTGCATCCATCTTCTGCTCCGAGGGGCGAGCTTGGTCTGTACCCGGCGCTGGGGCGGAGGGGGGTGTAGGGGGGAGACTGGGAACAGTTTTTCTGCACCAGCGGGAGGTGTTGGCCTGCCTGGGATCCGGCCGTGGACATGGACCTTCTGGACCAGTTGCCCCATTGACTTTGCCTGTTATTGTGCATTTATGCCTCTCGAGTTGTCTCAATAAAGGTCTCTGAAGCTTTCACGTGAAAAAACACATTACAGACCCTCAAGCAATGATGGCTGCACGATGTTTTAGGCACAAATGTTTTATGCCACAAGGCAACTTGATGATTGGAGTTGGGGGATATGCATGCTGCCATGTTGCTTCTGCAGTCTTATTAATTCTGTGATCTTTTTGCCTGTCTGTTCTTGGAGTGAGATCCATGAGTATGTTTCCACTTGCCATCCGCGCATTCTGTGTCACTCGTTTGCTTTTCATTATGTTGCTTTCTTCCAGAGATGTTTATCTTCAAATAGTGATACTGTCACCTGTTTCCTTGCACTTGAATGAGAAATCCTAATAAAGCTAGAAACTCTGAATCATCTGCTACTTTCCAGATAGTGACCCTGAATATGGCCAAAGTGTATGTTCTTTTCCACCTTTTAAAATAATATTTGTTTTCTTCTTGTCATATTCTACTCATGGCAGTGAATGTCATGTCCCAAGCTCTTGCTGAGTGTAAAGCTAGATAGAGTTAATAAAACCAAATGTTCCTGAAGTTAAGGTCGTAATACCGCTAGGTAACTGCTGTGTTAGATGCTAACCCTTCCTTGTGGTCCTAATCTTCCGTAAGCGTTCTAGATGTGATTTCTTAAGCCTTCCACTGAAACATAAGTTACTGTCTTTTAATGAGCATCCAGTTGCAGACCTGATTTCAGAGGGGCAGAGTATCGTCAAGTTAGGTGTTCACTTGAATTCTCTTAGTGTTTATAATTCTGCATTCCAGAATCAAAATCAGAAATTTGTCATATTAAAAAAATGAAACAGTAACTTTGCTAGGGACTTCTTGTTATATAATGCATCAAAAGAAATGTGAAATAATAAAAAAAACCTTGGTGTATACATGGAGTGAAGCAACATCTAAAGTAACATGTTTTCAGGTCTTGAATTTGGTCATAATTAACTTTATAAATAATTTTTGGTTTCATGCTACTTCTGTTTTGTGACAAAGTGTTGAGCAGCCTGAAATACGTTATTCTTTTGAGTCTTGTTTAATTGAATTTTGGCTGTGTCTAGTGCCTAAAATTCCTTTTCTGTCATCAGCCTTTTTTTTTTTCCTTCCACTATTAATTAGTTGGAACTTACAAATGCACATTTTTAACTCTGAGATGCTTTGAAAGTTTATGTTATTTCTAATCTCAACTATTTTTATGGTTTCTTAAAATAATCTTTAATTTCTGTGTAAATGTAGTGCATTACTTGTTTTCATGGAAGCAAACATGATTCTATACTATTAACTTCTTTTTTGGAATAATGAATAGATTTCAAGTTATCATTGCCCTCCTGCATAACTACATTTGTTTCAAATCAATAATGTGCACTCTAAGGAGGCATTGGATTTAGTTAGTGATAGAAATATGAGTTAATAATTTTGCAATAAATATTTTTTTTTCAAGTTTATGCTATACTATTTCCAGCTTTGTTTGTGGTCGGTTTCAGTTTGGCCCGAGAACTTTTCCAATAGCTTCAGTTCAGATAGGGACTTCCTTCACTAAGTTATTCCAAGCAATATAGTATGTTTCATCTTCTAGGTAAATGCCAGTGGTCATTTATATTATTGCTTATAGGAAAGAAAAAGATCATTCTTTTTTAATGAGCAGATATATTTAAAGATTTTTTTAAATTAAATTCTTAGTTATTGTATTCAATTTTATACGTCAAGGATGCAATCTCAAAAAATGTAAAAATGAACTAATTTTTTTGGTTTTTAATTTGTTGAAAGTAATATAGCAAAATGAGATTGGATTTCTAATGTTTGTTGGGTTGATGGGCAACATTAAGAAGTTCAAACCTAGATAAATGAGCTAGGGAAGGTAAGTCCTAATATCTCTCTAAGCAAATTGTGAAAAGATCAGTGGAATATTAACCCCGGTATATTTCTTCTTTGAGGTTCATTGGCCTTTCACTTATCTACAAGAGCTGTATTCACACAGCATGAATTTCCAGTAAGTCAAAGAAAGATCAAGGAGCCTCTGGAAAATACTTAAGCCTAAGGGTTGACTTAGGGGCTGCCATATTCAGCCAACAGGAAGCGTTAGGCCTAAGGACCTTTCTGTATTCCACTAGTGCTCCCCGTTTACCAGAAATGTACCTTCATATGTGAAAAGCGTGCTTCTTCAGCAAAACTGAAGCAACTTTAAATATTCTGGAGTATGGCTTATAGTTTTCTTGCAGAATCTACTGAACTACTTTCTGGTGATCCCACTTTTTTGTGAGGAGGAATGTTTTTGTTTTTCAATTTTTTTCTCTTCCGTTCTGTTCATCCTTCAGTTTTATTTTTTAGGAGTGGTAAGTTCCATGGCATTACACAAATACAGTCAGTCAGAACACTTATGAAAGTGGACCGTAATGGTCAAGTATTAACTACGCTTTCGCTTCACCTTTCTTCTTTTGCTTTATAGGAAACTGAAAAAATAGCTGTTCCAGTTCCTCCGGGTAAGTGCAGCAATGATTTTTTTTCCTTTAAAATATAAATTTTAATTTTATTTTTTTATACTGCTTCTTATTAACTTCTGATTTTTACTGAAAGCAAAACTTGCAAGTCTGCCTCTCTAGAAAATTGTGGAAATAAAGATAGGCTCAAATGTGGGAGGTGATTAAAATTTATGCTGTGCAATGTTTTGTGCATGTATTGAAAGTATAGAAGGTGCACTGTTCATTTTGATTTGCATTGATTTGTTTGGTTGCATGAGGAAGCCATCTCTTAATTTTGAAGTGTTTAAATTTGGAAAACAAAAATAGCTAAATAGCAATATTTTTTTTCTCATCTAAAGAAGCACGTATGTTAAAATTCTTTTGGAGCTAAGCAAAACATTAAATTCAGCTCTTCAGGTAACCATTAAGAGAGTGTTATTTTTTACTGTGGCAAATATATTCAGTACACTTTACTTTGAAAAAGTATGCACCTCAAGTAGAACTCTTGAAGTTGATACAGACTTTGAAAAAATGTTGACCTTGCCCTTTTATGCTTCAGTTTCCTATTATAAAATGAAGCTTTAAAGTAAAGTCTTAAAAATCTTACACTACCTAAAGCAATTACACACTATGATGAAATCTACAGAAAAGCTTACTAGGAGTTAATAATTCTGTATACAGTAAGGGGGTGTATCTTGCAGTAAAAAGGGGCACAATCCCAGATCAAATGTAAAGAATAAAAGGAAATGTTGAATAGACACAATCAGTCTTGAGGAAATGCAAACATCCGTAGGAAAACACATCGCTGATACTGTAACTTCAGTGCTTTGTAATGTATAGACCCAGGGGAGACTTGATATACTGATGGAGTACTATAATTCTGATTTGTCTCAATGGCCTAATTCAGTCTTTGTTTAACTTTCATGTTTTTTCAAACGTAGAGTTGTTTCTTGAGTTGGAGCCCCCTGCGAGCGGCCAGTCTAGCTGCAAAACTTGGGTTTGCATCACATGTAAGCAGTAACAGATAAATCAGCTACTACGGCAGCTGGCAGACTGTCAGATTGTCCTCTACGGACTGTCTGGTTTAGAGGGGTGACACACTTGTGGGAATGTGCATCTCTTCTTGCTTGCTGGCCGGCAGAGGAATGCTGACATTGAAAAGGTTTAAGGTCTCACTTTTTTTTTTTTTTTTTTAATGTTTATAATTGTCTGTCTTTTTGGAGTTCAGTTCAGGCTGTTTCATTCCATGCTGTTTGTGTCAGCCCTGATGTTACAGGAGGGCAGTCTCTATTGCTACAGTGCTTAGAATAAGTAATTACAAGGTAAGACTGCACATCCCCTGAGTGGGTTTGTGCATAGAGGTCTTTTGGCATACAGCATGCTTTATACAGGTAAAGTGCTCAGAGGCTTTAGCTACAATTTTGATGAATCTTTACTAGGTATGCACGAAGAATTATTTTTCTCAGCAAATTTGGAGAGGTTTTTTCCAAGGATTATCAATATGTATACATTTTTGAACAGCTATTTAAATGTTTAGTAGAAAAAAAAATTTGAAGTGTCAGTTGTGTTTTCCATGCTCCTCTATGTAGGGAATTAAGAGAAAACAGAAGAACCTTTACCAGTAAAATAAGCCAACAAGACATTGGTCAAGTCAGTGTATGATTCTGTTTTTTTACAAATTGTCTGCAGGAAGGTATTTTAGAAGCAAGTCTCAGACTATGTAGTAATAGTTTCCAGAAAGTGTACCTTAGATGTTTCATTAAAATCTTATAAAAGTATACAAAAAATTGTCGAAGCTATTTTTGTAGCACATTTAGATAAACATTAGTGTGATGTTTTATAGAAACAGCTTTATTTTTTAAAGAAGCACACCATCTTAAATATTAGTAAATTGCTTGCAAACCTGTTTTTATTTCTCTGTATTGTATATATTTTAAACATGTATATATAGTTAGTTATATATTCTACTGTACTGCTTGCTTTCCAAAAGTGGTACGAGGCTTATGGCATTTTAAATAGGCGTGATGTGAAAGCATTTTACCTTTGTGTTGTAAGTATGGAGCAAACACCGAAAAAGTGAGATTACTTTCTGATTTAAGTAGCAAAGTTGATTATACTGCTGAGGTTATTTCATGTTTTTCCTGTCTTGAGCTGTGATCCTATTTCTTAGTGTAGGTCAAAAGAATTTTGTGTATGGGTTTCTTTATGCTACTGAAAGGAATTTAGGGTTGGAAGGCTTACAGAAGAAAGTTGCAGTTCAGTGGAGTGTAGTAAGAATCATTTCACTGAACTGTTCAGTTTATCTGAAGAGATAAGTTAAGGCTGGAGTTTCACATTCAGATTGGCTTGCTCCAGGAACCATCTTTTTTCTATGGGACAAGGTGTTTGCTGTTGCCTGGGTAACAATCCAAGGTGGCTGTAATTCATCTCTAGTGATCGGCTTAGCAGTTTACATACTTTACTCCTCATTTGGTCAGGCAAATAACATTTTTGTCAAGATGGCGTTCAAGTTGCTATTTTGGTTTTTCAGGGGAAGAGAATTGTCTAAATTATTGTTTCTTACTGTGATATTCTCTCTTAGTCTCCAATAGGCTTTTGAAATCAGAGTGGCGATCACAAACTTCATTTCTGAAAATTTGTCTTTTGTGTGTTAGTCTTGTTATTCCTGCCAAGCCACAAACAATCCAGAAGGAAAAGAGGAGGCAAAGGATGGGGGTTGTTTGTTTGTTTTCCCTAGCAGCAATAATTTTAGTTGTTGGGCTGTAAAGTTAACCACGCTAAGTTTTCTAAAGCTGTCAGAACATTACCCAAGTTTGGATTGTCTTTTGCTGTTATTTACCTCTGTTTCTAGCTATGATGATGTCTTTGTGGTGTACTTCAAATTTCAGAGGTAATCTTTCATTGCTCAGAATTTAATCCATTCCAATTTTTAGTATTTCCAAGGATGGAGATTCTGCAGCCCCGCTGGGCAACCTGTTCCAGTGTTCAGCTGCCCTCACTGTGTGATTTTTTTTTTTTTTTTTTTTTTTTTAATTATCCCTCCCCTCCATCCCCTTATACTTGCTCTTAACTTTCTTGGTGTGGCTTGTGAATGTTGCATCACATCCTTTTGTTGTACACTACCCAGAGTCTGGATCTTTCTTCTCTATAACAATACATTAGGTAGTGTAAGACAGCAAGTAGATCCTTCCTTAGCTTTCCTTCTCCATGCTGAACAGACTTCGCTTCCTGATACTTCTCTTGTATGTAATAGTCCAGCCTCCTAACTATTTGGTGGGGCCCCAGCTGGTTTCTCTCCAGTTTGTCATCTGTCTTGAGGGGCTCAAAACTGGACACAGCACTCCAGCTGTAGCCTCATGAGTGCCAGATAAAGAAGAATAATCACTTCCCTTCATCTGGTTGCTATGCTTTTGCTAATTCAGCCCAGTAGGCTGTTAGCTTTCGATGCTGCAAGAGACACGATGCTGAACTGTGTTCAGTTTTTTGTCCACCAGGAGTTACAGGTTCTGTCCCAAAGCTGCTTGACAGCTGGTTGGCCCTCAGCCTGCACTGTTGCACGGACTTACTTCCTTCTAGATGCAAGCTTTGCATTTGTCTTTGTAATAGGTAAATACAATCCTTACCAATTTGGCTATACTAATGAATGTGAGCCCTTTGTTTTCCCATCCTGTCAGATCCAGTTTCTGTTTAGATTTATAATGTCTGAGGTCTTGCTGGAATGCGTGAGTGAACTTCTTTTCTCTTTTAAGTGCAAAAATTTCAGTGCTTCAAGATACTACTTTTTTTTTTTCCTCAGATGTTAGCTGGAATTCCTTTACAAGGCATTACTTCACAAAATTCCTTGTGGCCTGCAGTCAAATAATATTAAAAAGATCAGGAAATTAATTTATCTCCAACTTCTTTCCAATAAGTTTGCCAGGAAGACGACACTTTTTTCTTTTTCATATGGGTTGATTTTTAGTTTATAAATCAGGCATTCAAAATTCACAGGCTTCACAAACCAAAACATGCACCCAGATAACGACTTCATATGCAAATATGTGTTTTGATAATATTCCTTTAAAAGAGAAAATGAGCAGACTTGAAAAATTGATCATTACAGCTTATGATCTAGAAAAACACTAACAGTGTGGATGGAGTAGTTTTTATGTCTGATACTATGCACTTGTCAAAGACTGGCAACACGCTATAGTAACAGAGTGCAAAAAATGCCCTACATGCACTTTTGTTAATCAAAATCTTCATCCTTTGAATAAAAAAAGCCCAGAACTGTTTCTTATACCTTCAGACATTTCTGATACGGATATAGTGCTTCTGTTCATAATATATATCCATATGTGCATATTGTAGCCATATATAACTATATGGTGCCCCATGATACAATTTAATAAAGCAAATTCTTTTTGAGATCTAAAGGACACTGACCCTCTTAGTTTTGAACCTACATTTTAAAAAATTTGACTGTTGCATAGCTCAACAAGGATAATAAGCTCATGGGATACCTCTTAAGTGTCTGTTGAAGTTCCAGTTAAAATAAGGATGTAATCCTAAAGCTTCATTGATAAGGGCCTTATTTTTTACCCTGAAGCTGTGAGTATTCAAACTTGCCCATAACCTTGTTAACACTCTTCATTGGTGACAGTACCAAGTTTGTAGTTGGAACAGTTCAAGAAATATTTCATCCCTTCAGAAACTTGAGACGGGTTATGAACTCTTATGAACTCTTTGCAAAGAACAGCAGAACAATCTTCATCCCCAATTTGCTTTGGCATCTTTTCTTTGGGACATAAATGTTTCCCTGAGTTGTCAGTGCCAAAGACTCTTAAGTTTCTGGCAGCCATTCATCTCTTCTTGGCTTGTGATCTCAGCTCAGTATCCTCATAATGTTGAACGTATATATTTAGAAGTGACACTTTGGAATCTCCCCCCTCCACGTTTTGCTTCTTTGCTATTCAGTGCCCATGACCAAGGACATGGGGATCTTCTCCTTGAAGTAACATCTAAAAAGTCTGTAGAGTATATTTTTCCTGTATAGGCACAGGCAGAAGTAACGTGTTCCCTACAGATCTCTGAGGCATTAAGTCTTAAATGATTTGCTTACATTTACTTGATCTGTCTTGTGTCTAGTGCTAAATGGTGTACCAGAAGTATACATTCTTAGGATGGTTAGACAGTTTCAGGAGCTTGCAACTTTTCATGACCAGCCTGTTGGGGGAGAGATGGATTCATGATCTTTAATCATAAAGACATCTTTATTCATCTTTATTTGCTTCATCAAGCTAAGCAGTGTTCAGAACTAACATTGTTAGATCTCCATACAAATACTCATATTTAAAGATGAATGCGTTTCCTCCAGGGTAAAGCCACAGATGGGTTGAGAATGCTTGTCATCTCCTGGCTAATTAGCTAATT